TCAGCCGGTGGGGTTTTAATCCCAGCTCCCGTAGAAGCAGCTGCATGAGATGTGGCCTCCGTTTCTTCATGGCAGGAGGTCATAACGACCCCCAACTTATTTAAGAATTAAATGAGATGACACATGTATAAAGCACGGGGAACCACAGTTGGCACATGCCATGGGTAAATAAACAAGCTATTTTGGCTTATCTTTTATTTCACTTTCAGTGATATAGACATAATGCTTTCCATTGGGTGCCACACCCATGGATGAATGTCAACACTCACCTTATCCAAAGCAGCATTCACCCTCTGGCTCCCTCTCTGCTATGTGTCTCCCTCACAGCTACTCTTTTTATTTCATGTGACATTTGATTCCCTAAAACATTGTCATTCACAGTCACTCCAGCTAGATAACTCTAAAGAAATCTTCATTCCGTCTTCTGCATAGTCCCCAATCCAAACACTCCCCATCTCCTGTGCAAGCGGCTTCCTCCTCGGCCTGCCTCACGCCCTGCTTCCTAGTCTCTAGTTACTCTTCTACCCCAGGGCGGTTCTTCTTAAAAATACCCTCGTAATCACAGCTTTTACGTGTTTTGAATGCATCCATCTCACAAAAGAAGTCTACTCCTATTTGTACTAGTTAGGTGGTAATGCTATAGAAGCGAATAGTTCCCGTACTCGAAGGATCACGCTTATAAGGGAGATGGACAGGGGGTTGGTAATGTTAGGCAGTGGGATGCACGTTACTTTAGTTGGTATGCATAACGTTCCATGACACTGGGGAGAAAGCATGGCACCCACCCCCACCCCGTTGTTAAGTCGATTTCAACTCTATGATCCGATAGGACAGCACAGAACTTCTCTCATGAGGGTTCTAGTGCTGTCCATCTTTCTGGTAGCAGACTGCCACATCTCTCTTTTACAGAGCAGTGAGTGGGTTCCAACCCCTGCTCTTTGGAAGCAGTCAGTGCTTCAATCGTTGTACTACTAGGGCTCTTTATGAACTAGGGAGAAGGGTAGGTAAACCACAGCTTCCCCTCTAGGTGTTTGTTGTTTTAAGTTTCCCTAAGAACTTGCTATTGCACATCGTGGATGACAGACAATTCTAGTGTTGCGGCCTGCCGTACCCAGAGCCACACCAAATGCCGCCAGCGAGTTGGTTCGGATGCAGAGCTCCGCCCTCCGCAGGGTTTGAGAAGCCAGAACTTCTTCCAGGAGCAGGATGATCTCTTCTTGCCACAGAGTGGCTGGTGGGCTGGATTCCCTACATCCTCACAGAACAGTCTGACGGTTACCTGGCAGTGCCGCCAGGGCGCTTAAGACCTCAGTCCACAAGCAAACTCCCCGCCCTTGAGTCAATGCCAACTCACAGTGACCCTTTAGGAGTGTGGGAACTGCCTCCACTGGGCTTCCAAGACCGTAACTCTTCACAGGAGTCGAAAGCCTCGTCTTCCGTCCTCAGAGCCACCGGTGGTTTCGAACTGCTGATCTGGTGGTGAGCGCCCACACAGAACCGTGACACCAGCAGGCCTCCTAAAAGCGGTCTCCATGGAGATTTTCCAGCAGTGTCCACACATTCTTATAGCCCATTGAGGAGTCCTGATGGCACTGCAGTTCAAGGCTGAGCAGGTAACCAAAGACTAGTGGTTCGATCCCACTCAGAAGCTCCACCGGAGAACCATCCAGTCAAGTATGCCATAAAGGTGACCGCTGAGAAAACCTTTGGGGAAATTCTACTCTGTCACATCGGTCACTCTGTGTCAAGAGATGACTTGCCACCACAAAAGTCCAAGCAAGGTGGCTCTTTGAGTTTCACCAAGGGGCCTCGAACGGCTGCTTGCAGTCTATTTCCTGTTTCATTTAGTCTCTCGGACCCAAATGGGGCCGGGTTTCCCTCCCTTGATGATTTTCATGTAACAGTTCCGCTGCAGTCAGTGGACTTCAGTGGACTCTCAACCTGCTCCCGGCCGAGTGCATCTTTCTTCTCTCCTCCCTGGTCACTTGGTGCTGTCCTGAGTCACTTAGCCCAGCCTGCCCTGCTGTGGACTAACGTCCGCGGGCGTCCGGGCTCACAGGAGGCAGGTGCCGAGTCTCATTCATCTCTGCATTCCCCAGAGCGGCCTTCACAAGAGCCGGTACCTAGGAGGCGCTCAGTAAATGCTTTTTGAATTGAATTAAACGGTTCAGAAGACACTTTTATTCTCAGTGGTCTTTGGGCAGTTCCCTGAAAGGCACTTTATTCAAAGGACTTAATCTTTTAGCTGAAGATTTTCATGTTCTTTTTTTTTTTACTCTGAGGGAGAAGATTCTCAAAAGGAAAAAAAAAAATCCACTGGGCAATTTAAAAAAACCATCTGGGCATAAGGCCTTATTTTTCTTTGTTTCATGACTTTTGGATACCTTTTCAAATCTCTTAGCACACAAAATCAAAATGGTTTAAAATCTTGGTGGATTGTACAGAGAACAATGAAAGAATGTAAGACGGATTTTCAATGGACTGGGGAGAACTCCGGTCCTCACATTGCCTTGCACTTTCTATAGAATCTTTACAACTTAAAAAAAATACAACACTCCTCTGTCATTGAGTGGATTCTGATTCACAGGGACTGTTTAGGACAGACTAGAACTACCTCGGCCAGTTTCCTGGGCTGCATATCTTTGAAGGAGCAGAGAGCCCCATCTTTCTCCCATGGAGCGGCTGGTGGTTTCAAACTGCTGACCTTCTAGTGAGCACCTCAACTGGTGGCCCACTTAGGCCATCGGGGCTCCTTCTCTGGGTAAATATTTATCTCTTACATAATTAAGTGTTAGTAAAAACAATCACACTTATTAACCGAGTGGTTTATATGTGCAAATAAAAGGATAAGGACAATAAAAACAAGACCCTTTATTGTGTATCCATACCATGATTTTGAATTTTCAAATAAAAATACAGATGAGTCAGTCGTGGCCTTCAAATGCTAATGCCATGCTAAGTCCCAGAAGAGTTATCCTAGTGCCTACAAGACAGACGGAGAAACACGGTCTGGCTGGACTGGCACTCACTCCTCTGCTGATCTCCCTAGTGCTGCTCAGGATACAACCCGCCCCCCCCCCCAAGGAGATGGAGGATGCACAGAGTGGCAGCCCAGAAGTCATAAGCTGTGGCTGGTATTTCCAGCAAAGCCAGCTTCCTCTTTTGGATTCAGACTGATTTGGGGACCTGAGTGAAGAGGGATGCACCTTTCAACACCATTTTTAAACGTTAGAAAAGTAAATGCCCAAAGTTCCATTTGCTGTACAATGCCACAGGGATCTCCAGGTTGAAACAGGCTGTGGATGTGTCCTGGGGGCAAGTGTGAAGCGAGGGACATGAGGGAGGGATGGGCAAGCCATCCCTGGCTAATTCCACGGTAGCAATGACAGTAACACCAACAGGGTTCACCCTTGTTCACCTTGACTTCCAGAAGAAGGGAAGTGGAGGGATTACAAGAGGGGGATTGAGTCCAAATTCCAGTTCTCCTATTTAGTGTGACCTCAAAGAGCCTTTCTCATCTGTCAAATCAGAATAAATAATTATTTTCAATATGCTCTTGTTATTAAAGGCGTCATGTTGGTATATCGGTTACTCGTTGGGCTGCTAACTGTAGGCAGTAGCTTGAAATCCCCTGTCACTCCAAGGGAAAGACATGGGCTTTCTATTCCCACATACAGTTACAGCAGCGGTTCTCAACCTGTAGTCGTGACCCTAAGACCTAAGACCATCGGAAAACCAAGACACCGCTCCTCTATCTGTCTCCAGGCTGGTCTGCCCACATGCAGATCCACCCACATATGAGTACCGGCATGAAGACTGTCACCCTGCTACATCATGCTTCAAGACAACCTTTCATTTACTTGTAATTAGAAATAAATAGTTCACGATATATAATTACATGTTGTTTTGTAATTAATCACTATGCTTTAATTCTGTTCAGTTTGTAACAATGAAAATACATCCTGCATATCAGATATTGACATTATGATTCGTAACAGTAGCAAAGTGACAGTTATGAAGTAGCAACAAAAATAAATTTATGGTTGGGGTCACCACAACATGAGGAACTGTATTAAAGGGTCACGGCATTAGGAAGGTTGAGAACCACTAAGTTACAGTCTTGGAAACTCACAGGGCCAGTTCTACCCTGTCCTATGGGTCCTTATGAAGTGGCATCGGCTCGACAGTAGCTTTTGGTTGTATTGTTATTAGGGTGAAATGTCAGGGTATCGGTCAAGGTTGGGGACATAGAATTTAACATTTAATAAGTCCCTAGTCATCTAGCTAGTATTAATTTTAATAGAATTATAATACTATTAATTTTGCCTTTCCCTGTATGATCATATAAAACAGAGGGGTGAGTGGTATGCAGAGGGAAACCAGGATAAGGGAACTGGAAAAGAAGGATATTTGTGAGAAGAAACTAAAAGTGATACTGGAGACAGGTCTTCTAAGGCGTGACGACACCGCAGTGCCATCACAATTGCACTTTCTGAAGGAGGAAGAAGAAGAACCAGAGCGATGTCAGCGGGATCTAGAATGATCCAGCATGACCACGGGAACACCGTTTAAAATGGTCTTTTAAAAAGACAACTTTTTTTTTAATGTGGCTATTTGCTTTTCTTTTGTCTTTATGTACAAATTCGTTTTCTTCTAACAATTATACCGGTATCCAATTCACACATCCTGCATGTCCGCGGTCCAGTTAGCCTCCACAGAGCCGTGCAAGCATCCTGACCATCAATTCCAGTACATGTTGTGCTCCTTGTACTCTCTGTTGTTAGCTCCCCCACACTCCTCCCCCGCCATGCCCCTCTGACTCTCTTGATCTGCCTGATGTCTCTATAGGTTTTCCTAATTTGGGTTTCATCTATAGAAAATCCTACAGAAATCAAGACAGGATGCAAACAAATGGCCCCACAAGAGTGACACAAGGAAACAAGGAAAGATCTCCATCGATAACAAAGCCGAAATGTTGAAAAGGGAGAGAGCCTTCTTACCAGGCAGAGTGCACGGCTCCGTGGATTCCTGCAATTGTAGTTAGCTCAAAAAGTGACGACTTGTCAGACCTCCTTCTCGATTTCACACTGGTTAAAGGGTTGCCACTTTTGCAAGTGTCCTTTTAAAACACAGGAATCTTCGGAGGATGGCCCAGGCCTCATCCTGAGGACCGGTTGTGACGGGCAGTTCAAGCTGCCCTGGGAGGGGGCTGGCAGAGTGGCCTCTGGGGGCGGGAGTGCAAGACACCAGCATCAGCAAATAATGTCTCCAGAAGAAAGTCGCTTCTATATGCGCATAAACATATACACACATGTATTATATATATACACACAGGCACACATGTATACTCATATGTATATGTGTATGTGTGTAGATATATATGCACACTTTTATTTTCAAGAGAAGCCAAGAAAGACTCTCATGATTTCCTCTATTAAAAATATTTTGACTCAGTGTTAGGTTAAAAAGTTAGTTGAGAGAAACCATTAAAAAAGAATTTTTCAAAGCAAATACTCGTATTCCTTATTCTCCCGAAGTATCCTTAACTCTAGCATCGATTAAACGAGACCTTCAGAAAATCATGAGAGTCTTTCTTGGCTGATCATTGCCTCCGACTGATGGCCTCCAACGTTGTTTTTGTTAAAATGCCATGTAGGAAGATGTCATCAGCTTACATTAAGATGGTGCAGGGGGAGGAAGGAAGGACACGTGCAAAACATGTCACTGCGTGAGAGAAGTTGCAGAGTTTCTTCATTCCAGTACACAATGGTCACTTTGTGACCACCATGGGGCAGTGGCTCCGTAACTTCCTACTCAGTAACAGTTTGCCTTCTCTAAGCAACTGGTCCATTTCCCTTAAGAACGTGGTGAATTGTGTTATTCATCATCCTGCATCCCCTTTGGGCCGGATGCTGGAAAGCCTGAGCCAATTTTTTTTTAATAATCTCTAATAATATATGTAAATTACTTACACACTTTTCTTTTTACCATTCTCAGTGGGGGGAATCGCCTTATATTTTCTGACTAATATTTCTCACCAAAATTCATTGTACCTTCCTATATTATATGCAAATTACATCATGCATTCTAATTTAATGAATAGTGAATGAACTAAACTGTGTCCACAATGAAGATGTTATACCATGATATTCCCTAGGGTAGAGTATACAGGAGAGGGGGGTCAACCAATCTACATCAACTTATAGAATCTTTATCATCCATAAAACAAGAATTCTTGAGGCCAGCTGTCACCAGGGTGGGTCCATATGTTTGTCTAGGTTGACTACAGTAACAAATTGAGACACACGCATATGTGTATAAGAAAGAGCTTTATATAAAAGAGTAATTGTATATTGAGGAAACAGCCCAGCCCAGTCCTGATCAAGTCCCTAAGTCTGATATTAGCGCATATATCCGATACTAGTCCATGAATCCTCTTTAGACTCACATAGCACATGCAACTTTGCTGAGTGCAGGATGATCACAGGCCAGTGGGTGCGAGGTCTTGAGGATCTAGTGGCAGTGGAAGTATCTCAACGCTGATGCGGGTCTCCATGTGTCTCCTCCAGCTCTCTGAGTGTTTCTACAGCAGAAAATGCAAGGCAGGGGGCATGGGTCTGGAGCTCTTTCTCTCCATCGCACCTCCAAATGAGGTCATCAAGCTATGACCTGATTGACAGGCTAGACCTCACCGCATTCACTCAAGTTGACCAGAGATTGACCGTGCAGTGGCTGAGACATGTTGGACTTAGAGTCACTTCTATTTTCCAGAGCTTTTCCTTGGGGGGACAAGACAGCTGGCTGCTCCCCTCTACTCACTCTGCCATTGTGCGACGTAGGACAAAAGGAATGGCAGCCATGACAATGGACATCCTCCTACATCTCAGTGACTCTAACTGGCTCACAGTGACCCAGACGTGCAAGTACAGCCAGAAAGACAATTTATCACGTTCACAGCCTCTGTCTCAGGGTCAAGCAAGTGAAAAACATGAGGGTTAGATGCAGGTGCGAGGCGTGACAACATGGAGGTTACTACAAGTATCAAACACGTGATAAGGTGCTCTTCTAAAATGAACCCACATTTCAAGTTTGATTCATATATTGTCTCTCTGTGCTGTCACATGAGGGAAAACGCAGGGGTGTCTGTCCTTTGAAGAAGGAGCCCTGGTGACAGAATGACAGTGACACACGCAGCAGTTCACCAAAAGGCTGGCATTTAGAAGTCGCGAGCTGGCCCTGGGGAGAAAGACAGGGCACGCTGCTCATGTGTGGATGACCCCCGAGGGAACCCGGCCAGGCAGCAGTGGTGAGTCCTTTGTAGCTTAGCAGGTTACACACTGGGCTGCTAATCGCAAGGTCAGAAGTTCGAAGCCATTGCCTATTCTGAAGGAGAACGATGAGGCCCTTTGCCCCCACAAACTTCCACAGCCTCAGAATCCGATTCTGGTCTCGGAGTTGGGTTTGACTCGGAGGTGGTGGGTGACAGGGCGGCCATATACTACTGCATAGAGCTGATGGAGACTGTTTTTATGACAGACTGGATCCATGTGTGAGGCTAAGACCTTCAAGTCTAGTAAAATTATAAAAATACCATTTGTAAATATGACAATTTTATCATTCTTGAGCTCATTTAAGGAGCCCTAGTGGGGCATTGGTAACACTTTTGACTAGCAGTTGGAAACCACAAGCCATTCCATGGGGGAAAGGGGAGGCTTTTGACTCCTGTAAAGATTTACCGTCTCAGAGACCCAGAGGGGCAGTTCCACTGTGTTCAGTAAGGTCGCCATGAGTTGCAAATGACCAGCTAGCAGGGAGTTTGGTATCTGCTGGCACAATGGTCAAAATACTCAGTGGAGAACGCAAAGGCCGGTGGTTGGCACCCTCTGTCCAACCCCACTGTTGGGGCAAGCTGAGACAGCCTGCACTGGCCAGAGTCCACAAACCCAGACTCCCCTCCATCCAGTCGGTGCTGGCTCCCAGCAACCTTCTGTGGACTTCTGAAACTGTAATTGTTTAGGGAAATAGAAGTCCAGTCTTTTCCCCTCAGAGCTGCTGGTGGTTTCAAACTACCAACCATGCAGATCACAGCCCAAGCGTAACTACTATGCCGCCAGGTTTCAGGTCTACTCTGTCCTGTAAGGTCCCTATAAATCAGAATTGACTGGACTACAGTGGTTTTGGGTTTCTGGATGCTTAAAAATCAAAAGCACTTAGGCAATTGGTTGTGAGTTTAGAGGTACAACGGAAATAAGGCATAATGATAGGAAGGCCTTTTTTTTTTTCTAGAAAACTGGCTCTGCACCCCAGAAGACTTATCTCACTATATAGCATAACACTGCTGCGTTAGTTCTGGGGTACGCTATTTGGAGAAATATTTCAACTTAAAACTCTCTTAAGTTGCCCAGATCACAAATCATTATTGGCTTAAAGAAACCAACAGGTACTGTGGAACAGACGCTGACTCATAGTGGCCCTCTGGGTATCAGGACAGAACTATGCTCTCTACAGTTTTCAATGCTTGGTGTTTGGGGAAGCAGAGACTCAAGCTTTCTTCCAAGGCGCTTACAGGTGGAGACTTGAACATCCAGCCTTTGGGTGGGAAGCCAAGCACATGAACTCTTCACACCACCCAAAACTTATTACTGTTGAATCATTTTCAATAGACTCCTCATGCGTGTGCGAGGAGAACTGAACTCCAATGCTGTCATCTCATGGAATTAGACCACCAAGCCTGTCCTTGGCGGTGCTGATGGGTAGATTCGAACCGCCAACTTTTCAGGTAGTAGGCAAGCACAAAGTGTCTAGACCACCCACAGATTCCTTTATTGATTTAATTTTACTTAAATAAAATTTTATGAAAAAGAGTGTTTCTCAGGTGAAACCACTAAATAACCTTAGGATTTCCCACCAATACCGGGTCCCTTTTATGTTTTAGCTCCCACTCCCAAGTCATAGTCTATAACCCCATTCTGTCCTAGGAGCTGAGCATGGGGAAAGGCCCTAGCAGCCTAAGCAGTGATTCTAAACTTGAAATGAGACAGACCCCAGGCTGTGAAGTTAATGCTCTTCCCTGAGTCCCAAGGAACTCTGACAATCAATTCTAATAGATCTGGCACAAGTTTCCTGAGCTCTGTCAATTGTCTAATTTCAAGGTCTTGTTCAATGCCTAATTGTTGTAGGGAAATTCAGACTTCAAGGGCAGGCTTTCATGGCAGCCGTGTATTAGAAACAGATGGAATTTTTAAGACCTAAGCATGAAGACTCTGACTGGTTAAAAAGGAAATAAAAACACTGAATAATACAATGAATCAATCACAGTAGCAGCTATAGTAACATTTTCTGCAAAGGAGAAAACATTTTTCTTGACATCCTCATCCAATGTAGGACATAAAACTACTTTGGATGCGAACAGGGAGCTAAGCAACTTCCCTAAAATAAGGAATTCATAGAGAATTTCCCCAATTAGTGACTCCGTGGAGTTTGTTAACAGCAAAGCTTGGAGTGTTGTTTAACTGCAGTATCTAGCTTCTTTGTTTCATGGGTTGGGAGTCTAGGTAACAGTTTAATAACTAAAGATTAGGTGTTCCGAGCTCTGGGTTACCAATGATTTTCTCTGACCTTGGACTAGGCATTCAATGCCACAAAATTGCTGTTCAGAAGAGCTCCTTAGGCTTTTGTTTTTGTTCTGTAGAATAAAAATTACTTTAAAAAATGATAACTCGTATGTACAAATAACGTTAACTGGAGCAATTAATCTAGTAATAATACGTATTCAGTGATATCTCACCGTATTTTCAACCTCTACATAAAGATTTGCTTTGTCACCTAAATGATTTCACCTCTTTTTTCTAGAAAGCACAGGGCCTTGAATAAAAACAAAAATGAGACATTGTCTCTTTTCACCGAGGTTTCTCGCTATCTAGAGGATCTACTATCAAAATGCCATTCTTTATTAACTTTGGGCAGCATCTGGTGAATCACTAAAAATATTCCTTTAGAGGGGATGAAGGAAAGATAAG